CGACTTCGAGAATAAGTGGGAGTGTGCCAGAAAGAGTTAGGTATGCGCTGAGTGTTCTGCTGCGGGATCAGACGACACACTACTGGTGACCAACTTCGGACAGAGTCGGAATGAAACTGGTTCCTAAAGCATTTCACAGCCCCTTGAGGATTTGATGAGAGAGGCAAGCTTCTCTGGAACAATTAAGGTTCTTCATTTCATAAATTTTGAGGAGGGTATTCAATTCTGGGACAACGGGGCCATCACTCAGCTGCCTGTGAATGATCTCACTTTAGACAGACGTCAAAAGTGTAGCACAGTGATGCTAAAGTGATCATCACAACAGAGAGATGCAACAGATATGCAAATCGAAAAGTCAAGAAACTGTTCACTCATTGTTAGAAAAGAAAAGCTAAAGTTCCATTATCAACTATGAGGATTGATAAAACACTTTTCTCACTTCTAGTAGCAAAAAACATTACAGCAAAAGATGCAATCCCCCATGACTCAGATCAGAATGCTTCAGCGGTTCAGGAAGGTGATTGTTTCAATTCTATCTCTCCATTAGAGACTTACTGAAACTTTCTAACAGGATGACGAACCTATTGTCCTTATTTCGAATTCGTTTCTCCTTTATCTCTGAGAGATTCCCACTCCTAGTTCTACAACTGGGCTGGACACGAAATTTTTCTCCTCCAAGTCTACACAGCATAACTCAATTAGGCATTGAAGGTAAGTATAAAGTCTGGTAGCCTAGCTTCAGCTCTCAACACTGCTGGCGTACGGTTCATGTATCGTGGCTTCCGAACCATGGCGAGGGGAGCAACAATGTCAAATACGAAGAGAAAAATTTTAAGTTCTATAGATACCCAAAAAAACTTCACCAAAAACCATGATTAAAACGAAAGCAGAGATGAAAATGTTAGAGGCACGAGACAGATTTGAATCGAAGTTTGTATTTGTTCTACAGTATAAACCGGAGTGCTTCAGAGGTAATAAGACGTAACGGCTGCTAATTTCAACCATTCCAGTTTTAACTGTAGAGGAAAGTCCAGAATACTTTCAAAAAGAAACCGAAATCAACTATCCAAAGTTTCTATCTTCCCACTAACGTTTAGATAGAGTATTCCAGTGTACATTTTCGATTAGAGAGAAAGTTGACCTACCCGCTTATCATGCAGTACACTTCGAGCCGTTCCATTATTGTCGTAATCGATGGCAAAGATCCTTTCAAAGTATCGGTCCGTATAGTACAACGTTCGAGTATAGGGATCCACTGCCAGACCTAGAATGACTCCGAGTGAAGGATTATAGAGGTTCAGGGCGGAACGCCCAAAGAGGTCCTAAAGGAAGAAGTAAGGGGCTATGGCAAGCTTTATCTTCATTACCTTAGCCAAGGCAATATATTTGCGTTTGGAACAAAACAAGTCAAGGAAAACTGTGGGAAACCATAAAAAATAGAAGATCTTGAGAAAATATAAGGTTTGCCCAACAAAAGTCAATTCTCGTTCTCACCGCCTGGCATTTGAAGAGCCCGTGCCGTCATGTTGACTTTGGTTCGATTATCATACCGTACTTGCCACACACCAGCATTACGACCAATTGTCGAATAGAAAATTAGGCTGAAATAAAAAGAACGCTCAAACGGGGTTCGATTTAGACGCCTATCTCTCGTGGTGAGCGGTATTACCCAGCTCACAGAGAAAAAGAAATCAGCTGGGAAAACTTACCCTAGTGAGGTATCCACGACAAAATCCTCAATGTCCACGTCATCGACAACTATCCGACATTTTTCCATTACAGGCAACTCGTACTTACAGATAACTAGACGACTCCGCCCCACCAGAAATAGCCAATTATCGCCTGTTGCATCATGGCGAAATGAGCGTACTTCTGAAAGCATTTTAATCAGTATAGCACAATTTTCAAGTACAGTGCAGGTGTATTGTAAATGTAGAGCCAAGAATCCATGTTATGTGATGGGCGCCTCGGAGTAGCAGGGATTCTTGGCGCAACTAGTCGAGTGTGTTTCAAAAACCACGAAAATTCTTGGTGAAACGTGATCGAAAGGAAATACAGGAATTTGGAATGATGGTAAGACACGCCCATTTGGCGATCGCCCCGCCCACAAGGGACAGTTTTCAGTGTACAAATTCTATTCACCTACCGTCAAATGGAAAGCTGGCAGTTACGTCTGTGACCATGAGTTTCAGGGTTTTTTTCGTCAATTTCGAACATTCCATAAAAGCGTATGTCATAGGATCCTGAAAGCACAGCATTTAAAGCTGCACAACATCGCGATTCCACCTTGCTGTGACATTGAGATCTCCCAATCTTAACTCACTGCTCTTATGGCGGCCATCAGATAGCAAATCCAATTTCGGCTGCTGTCCATCGAGGCGGCGATTAAACGCCGATTTTGATTTATGGTCCGCTGGAAGCGAGTCGAAAAATCTTCCCATTTTACTGATGTCGTCATGGCAAATGTGTTCCCGATTACTGTCACATAATTGCCCGACGGGTCACCTGCAAAGTGTTGGTTTCTAGACGGAAAATAAGGAATATCAATCCCTAATGGAGAAATATTTTGCGAATCTCACAGAAAAAGCATATATGTTAAAGGATCTTGGGACTGAAGAACTCAAAAAATCACATATAATACAAAATTGCGAAAGCACTTGAGTCAGTTCGAAAAAAAAGCGAAAAAATTCCTAAATGCAAGGTGGATGACCTATTATTATTTATCCGCCATTGTTGAAGCTTTCGTGAAAATAGAGAAAGAAAGTTACCATTTGTTTCGAAGAGGTGCAGTTTAAGGGGGAGGGATAGTCAGTGGTGCGAGCGGTCGCGCTGCGTCTGGTAAGAAACAAGGATAAGAAGCAGCTCTGCTAATTTATAAAGATAAAGTAGAACTAGATGCGAAGCAAGCAACAAAAAAAAAGAGCACCGATGGGGATATTACTGACAATAAGACGTGAAACTGTAGCGGTTACAGCGCAACCGCACGCTTCCTGGGTGACAGATCTCCTCGTTGCCGACAATTCAACTGATTGAACCTCCCCCAAACGAAAAAAACCCAAAGAACTGTTTCTGAATTTGTGTAGCTACGTCACAATGGATCAAATGAATTTTTTGCAAAAGATTTTTAGTAAATCTAAAAATTTTGAGTTTTTAATTTCAAAAATTATGAAGAAAAAATTGAAAATTCAAAAAAGTTAAGGTTAAAAAGTAAAAATTTTGCTATCTCAGTCAAACTTACGCGGATCACAATAACTCCCATTGGGCTTGAAATCCTCAAGACATTCACATTCGGTCATCCCATTGCCGAGATCGCGACATACTTGGGAACAGATCGGAGATTTACCTCAAGAAGGCACATTGTATTTTGGTCTAGTCAAATAAAAAGCCATCAGTTGGGCGGAGTTGGCAATAGGGGGTGAGAAGATGCTTCAGATATGTTCCGAGGTTTTGTAGAACTCTTGAAATGTTGATTATCCTCGTCCAATCTCCCAGAATATTCGGCAGTGATCATAGGAAACGACAGAAAGAACCGGGGAGACTACTGGTTTAGTGAGAGCCCGGGACGATACTATGTCCGTGCAGAGCTAAAAAAAGAGTAAAAAGAGGACAACACGAACTGGAACTTTTAAATCAGGAAAATTTTGAAATACCCTGATTATCTTAATAGATCCTTCCCACTTCCTCCCAGAAAAATTTTACGTTTTTCCACCTAGTCAGGTCATGATGCACAACTTTGGGAAGAAATTTCGGGGAGAGTTCATAGGGATTTCCCTGGATGTGAAATCATTAGCAAAGCCCTTCTTTTCGATGCTCACCCTCACCTCTACTACTTCGCGAGCACTTATCCTCTGGCTCACACCGATCGCCAATGGAAATCTGATCCGACGGGCAGTAACAGACTGGTCCGTCCAAGGTGAGGCCGACACCATAGTGACAGGTGATGTTGTGCCCTGAACACTTCTTTTTTATTGTAAAAAGAACGCAATTCTGATTATAAAAAAATTAAAAACCCTAAAGGAGTATGTAAACGTAAAAGTTGAACAACAAAAAATAGGCTTGGTCAAAGCTCCAGAATTGCTTTTCTATTGTAGTACATCCCTAAGGAAATGAGAAGGAAACAAAGGGTGTCATCAGCAGTGGCATGCGCCATGCCATAATAATGGCCCTCGATCAAACTCTGTTTAGTACAGTAAAGTAATTCAACACTGTGGAGTCAAAAATTTTCAAAATCTTGCATCAATCCAGCACTGATTTGTATATGGATAACCTTCATAGCCATAGATAACACAAGTAAATAAACAAACACGTAAATGGATATGACAGTGCTCAACCTGAAAAGGCATTGAGCTGCATTCATGAACCCAGTTAATGTATGAGATTCTTGAATCCGCCAACTTTACAGGCTTAGTAGTAGGCAAGGGAATAAAAAATTCCTCAAAAAATGGACAAGCTACAAAAGCATTTAAGGACTAGGAAGGCAAACTCTTGCTGAGGGAAAACCCTCAAATTTTGGGATATGGTAGGGTATCCTGAAGCGATCAACTCCTAAAGGCATGAGAGGCATGATGAATGCTGTAAATTTTAGCGCGATGTAGCCCACGCCGCTCGATTTTGCTTACTTTTGCCTACTACAGTACTTTAGATGTGATTGGAAGCTTCCAATAATATAAACCACCGTAAAACATAAAATTTCCGTGCTAGTTCTCTCATGAGCCCTCATCTGGGCATAAGCTGCAGCTATCATTACAACCGATTTTCTTGAAAGTTGAAAAAAAAAGCCCAAAAAAAAACTAGTCCAGTTGAGGTTTACAGCATTCGAAAAGTTTTTTTGTTTCAGAAAAATTAATACTCACAGTCGTCACATTTGTGGTGTTCATCAGAGCGGTCGTTACAGTCAGCGATACCATTACAGAACTGTGATAGGTGAATACAACGTGCTTCATGACGACATGAATAGAAATTAGGCGGGCAGGTTGCCTTGTGAAGGCCTAAATGAGGGCCTAACATAACAGTTCCGTCAGATATGAAACAGCAGTGATCAGCTTACATATCGATGGATCTTCATCTGAGTTGTCGTCCACACCGTTGATACCACAATCAGCAGTGCCATCGCATAGATAGGACTTTGGTAGACATCGTCCTGAATGGCAGCGAAACTCGTCCGAACCACATCGTGCTGAAACCCGTCCATTAACTACGCTGCTACGGCGGCAATAATCAATTCAATCGTTTGTGTCTTGCAGTATTAATGTACCAACCGCAGAAGGACAACTCGTCCGAACCGTCAGCACAGTCAGTTTCACCGTCACATTTCCATTTTAGCGGTACACAACGACCATCGCACGAGAATTGACCAACTCCGCATGCCACTTTAAAGCAATAAATCATTCAAAGGAAATCTTTTTTTGTAAAATATAGGCCATAAAAGATAATCGAAGGCAGAACTTAAAAAATCGAAAAAATCACCTTCACTCGATACCCATTCCACCTGAGCAACAGCCGTTGACCCGTTCTTTATAGCTATGGCTAGCAGCGAGAGCAGAACTGCACCCGTATAGATCATCGGAATTTATGACATCTATTCTGACCAATGAGCAATGAGTAGTACCTGTAATTAACAAACATTAATAGTTCGATAAATGACTGGATAGAAAATATTCACGGATCAAGAAGAAAATGACATCTTCTATGACTACTGGAATGGGGAGAGTTGGTGTGGTGGCAAATAGCCGAGTATTTCACAGGCATGGTCCGGATATCGAGCCTTTGATTGATATGCGCTCAGGCAAACCTAGACTCCCACCTCTTGTGGGTTGCTTGATTGGTACCAGATTCGTCTGGGATGATAAAAGCACTGACTTGCTCATGGGATGGCCACCGCACCTCGTTGTATAGGCCACATGAGCATTCAAACAGCCAGTTTGGTTACGGGTAGAAGTCGACTGTGTAGCCCATCCCAAGGACGAAGTGGTTACACCATAGACTTGATCTCCTATCCTTTATTAAAATGAAAAACCGAGCGAGAACGTGTTAGGGAACAGTAGGCAAGGGAGTACGCATCTCCGTGTCTCCAGGTAGTATCCCNCCCACTCAGCTCGAAATCCCCTACTCCTTGAGCTCAACTGATCCATCCCTTGTTTTGGAAACATTTCTAGGCATCATACCTCCAAAATTGGTAGCCTATTTTTCTTAGCACTCTGGTCCATAGTATCAGAGACACAGACCACCATGGACTAGCTTTTTCCGCCTACATCTTCACCATCAAGTTATTTATCATGACAACAGAGCACAAGCGGACAAGCGTCCCAATTCGGGGCTGTAATTAGTGACATAAGGCGAGGGTGTGTGACGTGATGCGATGGCTGTCAAAAGTATAGCAATATGTATTACCGGGACAATGAAAAGCGAAAAACGGCTCATTAAAAGTAAATAGATAAATAACTAATACCCAAGTATGCTTCCGGCTAGGTGGTCTGGTAGACATTTGTATTTATTTGTTTTTTTTTTCAAGAATACTACCATGCTATAACATAATTCTGGTTGCCTACTTTCATCTGTGTTTGCTTCTGCAGTTAGTATGTTGCGTTATCTAACTAGGTTACCTTAGTGAAGTTCTGTAATAAGCGCACCTACGAGTGCATAAATAAATAAGTAAATAAATGAATAAAATCGATAGAAAGCAATATGACAAAATGTTGAACAAAAGCTTCGTTGAAAGATGAATTAGAGATGGAATGAAGGAAAAATGTCCACTCAAAAGGTTCATCCGGCCCAGTTCCTAGCATATACTTGAGTGATGACGGTCATTGAGTTGTTCGAAGTTTTCCCAGGAGGCTAGAGCAGTTTGAGGGGCTTGAAACTTAATGACAAAAGCTCCCAATAGAAATGAGGATGGACCATGCATTCATAATTGGCCTCAGTCTGCAAACATGACGCCATCGAGGGCATCATTGAAAAGCGTTCATTTCGAGTCCAACGCTTTCCAAGAATGTCAGAAGTACTGGCACATACTACAATCTGCTTTCCAAAGTCCACTTCCAGATTTGTAACTTGACAAAGGGAACCTTTGAAGTCCTATAAAAAGCTCCATTCAAAAATTTCTATGAGAAATTCGTGTTTTCCATATAATCTTGTACGAAAAAACCATATTCTCAAGAAAAAAGTGAACTGCAAACCTATCGGCATAAAAAAACTCAAAGGAAAAAAACTTGTTTTGCACAAAACTTTCTTCAGCAAGACGGAGGTAGGTTGAGCAAATTTTCAATGAATATAAATCAAAATACAAATAAAAATCTAACGAATTATTCTTTAAAATATATTTTGCTTTGAAAATTTTGAATTTTTTAGGATAAATAAATGTTTGCAATGACTATATCGTGGAAATTAGCTATTCTTGACCTTTCGCTTAGCTACTGCTATCATTTCGAGACCATGATCGACTTTCTCTTACATAAGTTCGGACTTGTGTGGGTTGACTGTGACTTGCTCTTGGGAGGGTAAAGACAGCCCACACAATACAAAAAGAAAGTTAAAAATTTACAAAAAGGTCGATAACTTCGGCAATGTTCCCGTTGGACCGTGAGGAATATGCCAAATTCTTAGCTGTTATACATTCATGAGCTATGGGGACAGCCAAGAAAAGCAGTTCCTGCACGTCAATCACAGAGTCATAGACATAATTACGCACGTTCCCCATGCATAGTGATCTTAGGCCGTTTTCAAGTGAGGGTAATGAAGTGGCTAGAAAGTTATATCCATTAACAAAAGGGAATTGGGAACATCAACAAGAGCGTAGACTCTTTATTCTGTCAATGGACACCTCCAACTTCGCAAAAATAAACAGAGCACTGCCTTTTTCGAAGTTAAAGGTGTCCTGATTGACCTGTATTTAGTTAAAAATTCAATTTTTTCATTTCTTTTTTTTTTTTGAAAAAAAAGTCGGAAGAGAGCAATTGTTACAGGGGTTGTCCAACCGTTTGATTCAAATACCAGCTGAAACAGCTGCATCCTGGTCTTTTCTTTCTGCTCAGAGAGNAGAAGAAAATTAATTTCCGGCGAGAGTATCCTCCAGCAACGGCTTTCCTCTTCCAGCAGTGAAACTACCCTTTCCGCTGTTTACCTAATNTTTTTTTTTTGAAAAAAAAGTCGGAAGAGAGCAATTGTTACAGGGGTTGTCCAACCGTTTGATTCAAATACCAGCTGAAACAGCTGCATCCTGGTCTTTTCTTTCTGCTCAGAGAGATTCAACTAATCAACTATGCACGTCCCAAAGGCAGCATGCTATCTCAACCATCTATTGACTGCTTAGTTATAGAGACTGAACCTATCAATCACCACCTCAGTAGTAGTGCGGAACTGATTGCATGGCATATCTCGATAAGGACCTTGAAGAAGTCAAATATGGCTCTTGAGATATTAAAATGAATGAAATAAATGAAAAAATAGACGAAAATTCACTTCGAGAAATTGAAAACATTCCTTTCGTACAATATTGATTGAGGCTTGGAGATGACAGCAATAAGGGGTTAGTTGAAGAAGTTGAAATCATAATTACAGCAGATTATAGATGAGAAAGCCGTTATTCATGGCGTAAAAACAAAAAAGCATTTTCAGAGTAACAGGTTCTTCAAAGATTTCTCAGTAATTTTTGTTGACATGACCGTTATTTATTGTTTATCTACATCTTATTGTTGTGACGCATCTCTCTTATTTCTTGCTTACAGGCAAAATGAGACCCTAATTTCCAATTTCTAACTTCATTTTTTTGTGTGATTAATGGGCACACCCTTGAGGTGCATTTGAATGAACAAATAAATAAATAAATAAAATGCAATTCATGCCTATCCCTCTCGGAGTGCGCCATGCACATAACCTTCACTAATAGTCACTTGGGCCTACTTAGGTCTGTGTTTTGAAGCCCGTGTTTGTTTATTGTTCAGATTTGAAGTGTTTAGGTTGTGTAACAACTGCTCAACTGATTTATAAGTCATCGTGTTTACCCACCAACCGGATCTGTCACAAACAATTCAGTTCAAAACATTTGGATGAGTAGGCTGAGCGGGGTTCAATCTCTGGATCGGGCAATAATGCCTCCACGACCCTCTAAGCCCATCAGATGCAAGAACACACTTAACTGGTACTATTGCTTACAGAATTACTATTTACGTACTGTTTATTGTTTACAAATATGATTTTGATATGATTTGAACCAGTTCCTATCCAATGTTATTTCGTTTCAGTCATGGATGGTCCAGTCTTAGTTCATCAAGAGAGCCCAGTAATAAATAAACGAAAAGGGAAATGAATGCCGAGAATAGGCTCAAATTTGTCCATTAGTCCCCCCACATCCATTGAATGCTGGAGAGGGTAATGGGTAGAAGCGGGTGACAAATAGGAGAAACACAAGAGAGATGAGGGCTGAGGACATGAATCAGAGCAGAGTTTTTGAAGAAGAGTCTCTTTAATTGCAAGATCCTCGCCGTACCTCTTGGCGCTTAGACGTCGTCTGATAGACATAATTATATGCCGGCTCGTCACGATCAATTGCGGCCCACCACATGTGGGGGTCTTCGAGACCACTTGGGGAAGCGGAAGGAAGGAAGGAACGTTAGGGGAACTGGGCGGAACCCCTATGTGCCAAGGAATCGTTGAACCGTGAGAAAACCAGCTGCGTGAACATGAGGCCCAACGATGGGTGGGTGGGGGATCACCGCCATTACAATGCGCATGCCAGTTCATCCAGTCTAATCCAATTGGACGCTTGGAACATGGCCAACAATATTGGATGCAGAGCAGATGAATCCATTTGAATGCATAATATATAGGGATATCCTAAAAAGTCAATATCCATGTAATAAAACAGGCCATTATCAAAAATGAAGGAAACGGAAAGGAACAAGAAAATTAGCTGGTTGGGCACTGAATTGGCAGAAAGCTCTCAATTCTTTGAAATCTTTGAATTCAAGGGAAACCGTGACTACTCGCAATTTAAGGGGGAAGAACTGGTAAGAGAGTTGTTGGGGGGGAAAGATGAAAAACAAGAGGGCAAGATGGGAAGCAAAACAGACCCACAATAAAGGGCTAACTATTGACGCTGAGTAGCCAATAAGTTCAGTGATCTCGATGATCTCCTTTAAAGGGTCAAACGGAGGAGAATTCAAGCTTTTAGAAAAAAGGCAAGGGGCAAAAGAATGAAGTCCCTGACCTTTACCAATCCTCCTTGTAATGCGCCTCGCATTCGAATTTCAATCAGAATCGTAGTGCCGTTTTGTATGCCTGTGCGACCTATACAATAACTTGGGGTGGCCAGCCGATGTACAAGAAAGTGCTTTTATCCCCCAGACAGGTACGATACCAATAAACAGATCCTGGTAAGATTGAAGGCTTGGCTGGTCTGGGAGGATATCGAGACAGGATTGATCCACGGACCATGCGGGTGTCATAGTGAACCGCTTTCTCCTACACCACCTTCGCCTTAGAAGAAAATTAATTTCCGGCGAGAGTATCCTCCAGCAGTGAAACTACCCTTTCCGCTGTTTACCTAATCCTCAATAAACCGGGGTT